TGCTCAGGCTGGGCTTTGTGTCCCTGTGGAGTGGAGGCCCTGGAGATGGTGAGCATGGGTGGGGGGGAGGAGAGCAGGTGCCTTCCCAACCCCGAGTCCGGCCCTGGACTGTGCCCCTGTGATCATCAGAATGGGGATCTGAACACTTGAGATCCCAGATGGAATGGGAGTTAGCTGTTTTCCTGTGTTATTTTTAAGCTTTATTTGGAAATAATTTCAAACTCACAGGGAAGTCTCAAGGATAATATTTTTAAAACTCCTTCATAAATTTTACCTAGATTCATCAGCTTTAACCTTTTGCTGCATTGGCTTTATTTCTTTGGACCCATTTGCCAGTAGGTGGCATACATCATGCCCTTTCCTCCTTGAGTGCCTCTTAAGAACAAGGACGTTCTTTGCTGTAACCATGACATGGTTGCTAAGTTCAAACTTCTCATATGATGTGATGCTGTAGTCAGCAGCCCCTCTTCCGACTCCATCACTTGTCCATCAATCAGCCTTAATCAGGTGTGGCAACAGCTGCAGGGGCAGGATGGACGGAAGCCAGTGGTGGGTCGTGTATCCGAATGTGTGTGTGGCAGCCTCCAGTGCAGGTCCCATTCAACGAGCTTCGGAATTCTCGATGCAGGGCTGCTGGTGGCTGCAGTGCTCCGTGTATGGGATCTTATGCTCTTTCCGCACCAACCCTATGAGGCTGGCATGACAGCCCCATTTTAGAGCTGAGGAAGCTGAGGTTTGGGGGCTAGGGAGTGATGTGCCCAGGGGACCTTTAGGATTTGAGGGACCAAGTCAGAACTTGAGTTTTCTCTCTCGGAGTTTGGTGATGCCTCTGATGCCCTTCATGAGGGAAGAGGCTGGAGAAATGGAGGACAGGGAGGCAGGGGTGTCACCTGGCTGACGGGACACCCGAGCCTCCCCTTCCAGGCTGCGGGCTACCCCCCGCCGCCTAGCTGAGCCCACGTGTGTCCTTGCAGGGAGCTACTTTGCCCGAGACGCTGCATATTCCCACCACTACAGCAAATCCGACACCAAGTCCCACACGATGTTCCTGGCCCGGGTGCTGGTGGGGGAGTTCATCCGAGGCAACGCCTCCTTCGTCCGCCCCCCGGCCAAGGAGGGCCTTGGCAACGTCTTCTACGACAGCTGCGTGAACAGCATGTCTGACCCCTCTATCTTCGTGGTCTTCGAGAAGCACCAGGTCTACCCGGAGTACATCATCCAGTACGTCAGCTCCACCAAGCTCATGGTGGGGGCCTCCACCCTCTTCTCCTTGGCATCTTTCTTTGGGGGCCGGCAGTGAGCCCGCCAGGGTGTTTTTAATGCCTTTCAGGCCTGTCTTCCTTGGGGTAGCTATTCGGGAAGGTGTGGCTTTTGTTTTTTTTTTTTTTTTTTTTTTTTTAACAAAAACTTTTAATGAACTGTTCATTTAACGTTGACTTCCTGATGAAGTTACATTCTTAATCTCGCACTGGTAATGGTTTTCGGTTTTAAGCCACTCTTGGGCTCGTTACTAGACTAACCAGAAGTGATTATAGGTGGTCCTGTTTATTGCCTTTTACTAGTGTGTTAAAGTTTTATTACTTAGACTCTTTGTTGACTTTGCGGCTGATTGGCACCAGGCACAGAGTTTCTAGATACTATTTTATGGATTGATTTTAAATTTAAGTTTCTGTCTCTGCAGTGAGTCATTTGGTTTTTCAGGGTCTCAGTGGCATCTTGTTTAATTTTTTGTCAAAATGACACAGTAGCCATCAGTGCAGGAGGCCTCCCTGTCTGTTGCTCTGGCTCTAATCCAGGCAGCTCTTCTCCTGGGCTTCTGGCCTTGGAGTCGGCCCATCAGTCACGGTGTGAGAGCAAGTGGCTACTGTGTGGCATCACTGGGGCCCTGTCGCGGGGTCCACACCATTCAGTGGAAGGTGACAGGGATGAGTGGCTGCCAAGGACCCCCGGGCTCTGCCCACGAAGGCCCGTTCCCACATCTGAGCACACTGGACACCCTCCGAATGTGGGTTTTCTGTTCCTGTGAGATTTGAATACCTGTGCTGCAAATGTCACAACGGAGAATGGAAATAAAAGAATATTTATCTGAAGTGGGCGACAACCAAAGCTCATTCTTCAGCATCTATTTATCGAGCACCTGCGGGGTACAGACACTTTTCTGGGTTTTGGGATATAACAGAGCCCCCAGTACTGGCCTTGGGGGCTGTGTGTGTGACTTATCCTAAAGCTGATGAACCTGAAGGTTCAGGGCCACTCACTTGCTGGGGCTTCTTCCACAACCGTAAGAGGGGCCCTAACTATATGGCCACATGGTCCTACATCTCCGTTAAATTTGCAAAAGTTACATATTCATATTTTTTTTCTTTCCCCCAACCGCTATGAATTTCAAGTTCCACAAAACCCAGATTGACTACTGAGCAGAGTGTGTTGTGGACATGGAGGGGTGGGTGCGTTCTGAGTGTGTCTTGCACACATAGCAGTCGATGGGAGTCTCTGTTTTTTTTTTTTTAAGATTTTATTTATTTATTTGACAGAGAGGGGACACAAGCAGGGGGAGTGGGAGAGGGAGAAGCAGACCTCGCGCTGAGCAAGAAGCCCGATGCGGGGCTCGATCCCAGGGCCCTGGGACCATGACCTGAGCTGAAGGCAGCCACTTAACCGACTGAGCCACCCAGGCGCCCCGTCGATGGGAGTCTCTGCTGGGCACTGGCTGGCTCTGCTCCGGGGAGGAGGGGCGGGCAGGGCAGCTCTGTGTCCTGAGGTGGCTCTCGCTGTTGGTCTCCAGGTTCAGTCCTCAGCAATGGGCTCCTCCTCCTCCTCCCCTACACCCTTCTTGCCCATCCCCCCACCTTCCTAATACAGTGTGTCCACTTCATGGGACGCCTCCGCTTCTGTCACTTTGTCCTCAAGTTCTCCTATCCAAGGCTGTTGAGTTTTTCCATCTTTGGAACAGGTGTAGGGAATGCCCTGGAACCTTACACAGGTGAGCTAATCAAGGCAGAGAAGAACTGAATTCTATGACCAGAAAAATGTAGCAACAGCAGTACTACCTTACCCACCCGTTGGGCTAGTCACCTGGTTGTACATGGTATGATTTTCAGAGCCACCAAAATATTTACCCCATACCCTGACTGATGAAATTTTATTCACTGCTTTTCGATTGAGTCATGGTCCTACTACAGTGTAGGCGGGGAGGCAGAGGGGTGTCAGGGAGAACCATCAAATCAGGTGCTTGCCTGCTAAGTCTTAAATGTAAATGATCCCATGCTCATTAACCACCTGGCTGCTGGGAGCTGAATGATGGGCAGCAAGGATGGTCCACTGGGGAGTGTGGGTGGGACGGATGGCTGGCGAAACCTGGTGTGGGAGGTGATCACATGCTCCAGACAAGGCAGTTGAGCTACAAAGACCGCAGGGGCCCTGGATTTGCTCACCTTTCAGAAAGCAAGCCAGGAAGGACACCTGCTTGGACCTGAAATTTGAGAGACGGACGGGGTCCGTGTGACCAGGCTGTGGGATCAGGGGGGTGGGCATGTGATGGGACGAAGTCAAAATGATGGTAACTCTCTTGGCGCAAAGAGGCGGTGGCACCCAGGGCAAGTGTGTGTGACTGACTAGTCACGAGGACCTGGCTGAGATCCAGCTAAAGGGTCCTGTGGAGGGTCCAGTCCGTGCCATCTCCTGCCCCGTGGTAGCTGGCATTGCACACGGATGGTGGGATTTCAGGGGAGCTAGGGATTGTGGGTTGAAACAGTGGAAGGGCCGAGTCCAGCAATTCTAGAACATGAGGAAGCCTCACTGCTGTGTCTGAAGATGAGAAGCACCTGGACAGAGAAGGTGAGGGGAGCCAACGGATGGAGCTGACAGGCCAGGGGCGCTGGGTGCAGGCTGTGCTCTGAGGAGGGAGCCAGCTGCTCTGTTGGGCCCTTCTCGAGGATGAGGCTCTGTGATGGCCATAGAGGGTCGGGGGCTGGGAGATGAGCAGGCCAGTCAGGAAGGGCAGATGGGTCACCAGGAATGGGAACGTGTGGCTTTCCCCGATGAGTCTGAGCCCCAGGACCAGACATCTCGAAGGGGCTGGGGCCCAGACAGGAGAAGTGGTGAGAGCGAGGGTGGAGAGAGAGCTGTGTGATAGGCTGGCTGGGCAGCTCCTAGGGCTGGGACAGCACTGGGGGACGAGGCTGCCTTCCTGTCTATGGGGAAGGACTCTGGGGGAAGCATGGGGTCTTCTGGGCTGGAGTGGGAGAGGACCCAACGGCAGAGGCAGCATCCACAGCCATGGATACGTGGAAACCTCTTGTGCCAGCTCTCCTGAAACAGCCTAAAGATGGGTCAGCATCTGGGTAGCCATGCTTCCCGACTCCTGCTCAGAATGCTATCTATAGGACATTCATCCTCTTCATGCTGCTCAGATGGTGCAGAGGAGGGGGCTTTGATCAAGGTCAGCTGCCCCGTTTTACATATGACACAGAGGCACAGGGACGTGGGAAGACCAACAGCCACGTGGCTGGTGGCAGATGTGGGATTCAACTTGAGAGCCCTTCTCAGCAACACGATAGTTTTAACAAATTCACTTCTATATTTTGACTCTTTGATCAAAATTAAGAGAAGGTCCGATGACTACATTTCAGTCTCTCTCACTCTTCTGTGTATTAAAACCTTATAAAGTTAGTATTATCCTACCTAGGAAAATCAAAGCATAAGAAAGCTTTTGAGCCACTGTTGAAGCTGGGCTTCTGATAAATGTCATTTTTTTAAGTCACACAGCCCGAGTGCACCAGAAGCTGAAGAGGCCCAGGAGCTGCTGCCATCCAGGGCAGCTCACCTGAGCGTCCCCGTGTCCTCTGCCCTATAGATTCCTTCCATCCTGAGGCCAGGACTTCCTTCAAAACCCCGAGTTCTCAGTCATTTTGGCAAAGTACATTTTTTGCTTATTTATCAGCAATCCCTGATGGAGAGAGGTGGATCAGTGGTTCGTACATCATCAGCAAAGTCAAAACTAAGTGCAACAAACATTTATTAAGCATTTAGGAAATCTCCTATAGAGACCTCTTTTATACTTGCATGTCAGGGACCCTTTCAATTGCTTCAGTGATGTTTTCGCCCCAAATCTGAATTTTCACATGAAGGTTTTCTTTGAATCTGGGAGTGTCCTCATAACACTAACTGTCAGCGGGAGACAATCTTGATGTAGACGCCATTCTTTGGACCTAGGGCAGATCTGGATTCTAGCTGCAGTGGTACCTAAAAGAGAGATGAAGAGACTGGTTACAGCTAACTGCATCTACAGGGAAACTTCTTTGGAACTGGGCCTGGGGTTGTGGAAATGAGGGACAGCAGGGCTGAGTGAGCAAAGCAGCCTCCCTAGCATGGCCCTGAGAAGCCAGCAAAGCTGCATCTCGGGGACACTGGGGGCTGGGGCCCCAGCAGCACACTGGTGCCTGACCCTCTTTCCCATGTTAATAAAATGCTGCCGCTGAGTAAGGAACTTAGCATTTACCCTCCCAAGAAGCCTGCATAAGAAGTAGTAGTATCTCACTCTGCAAAAGAAGAAATGGAGGTTCAACGAGGCCAAGTGACTCGTCCAAGGTCACACAACTGGAAAGTGAAGAGCAAAGCCTCAAACTCTCTCACCTCCCCTCCTCTCACTCCCCGGTGCCCTGGCGGTAACTGAGCAGCCCCCTCTCTTTCCAAGGGGCTTTGGGAGAGTGGCTTCATACTGTCCCCTTCTCATGTGTGCCGTGGTCTAGCCTCACCGCCATTCAGAAAGCTTTCCTCATTAACTTACAAGGCAGATTGATGGTGGACTGGGGACTTGGAAGAAAAGCCAAAGAATTACTCAAGAAGCAGCGTGTCCCCTTGAGTTCTGGGTAAAATGATGGCTCAATGGCTAATGTGAATGAACGATTTAAGGGAAAGAAGAATCACCGGGCCTTAGTATTGGGGTCTTGGTGGGCTTTTCAGATGTCTTTGGGGGCTATAGTTCAAATGGGAGACAAGTTATATCACCAAGAAACAAGATGAACTAAACTTGTGCTATCCCGTATGGTAGTCAGTAGCGCGCATGGCAACTGAGCATTAGAAATATGCTTAGCGCAAATGAGGGGCCGAGTTTTTACTTGATTATTAAAATTTACATAGCCACATGTGACTAGCAGCTACTGTATTAACACCAGTCTAGACAAACTGGAAACACCATTGGACTTCCAAAAAGGAATCAGTTGGAGCTAGCAAAGTCAGGGAGGGCTTCCTGGAGGAATGGACACCTGAGGTGGGGCTAGGAATGGGAGAAGCCCTGTAAGCAGGACTTCTCAAGGGCCACTTTGGGATCTGAGGGAACACTAAAGGATTTGGAAGATGGGATTAGGCTGGGGGCAGGGAAGTGGAGGCGGGGGATGGCATTCCAGCTAGGGAGGAGTGGGTAGAACCCTCCCAGAGTGGGAAGTTGGGGCAGAAAACACAAAGTGGGCTCAGACGAGCTCTCTGTAGATCCAGGAGGCTCAGGGACTCATGCCTGGTTCTTGAGCTGGGGAATGCCAGGCATAAGCAGGGTTTTGGGACAAAGACTGCTGTACCATTTGTCAAGATCAAGGGGGAATGAGACAAACCCCAAAGGGAAGTCCTGCACACACGGAACACCTCATTCATTTGGGGGCCTGCCCTTCTCTCTGTTGGTTTGGCTCTATGTTTCCAATTTGCCCCTCCCTCTCTCCAGCCTTGAACCCAGTCTCTGTCAGAGGCAATGCCGCTCTCGGACTCTAGAAGTTGTCCACTCATCACTGTGTACTTAGTACCTGCCCCCATTCATACTCGTGTCCGGCTGTGCAGAGGGCTCCTGAACAGGCATGGAGGGGCACCATGTTCAGGCTGTGTAGGCACAGACACCGCAGAGAGGCAGCTAGAGGGAGAGGAAGGAGGGAGGTTTGGGGGGCGCGCCACATCTGGTTGGAACCCGTTTCTTCGCTCCCTGGCTAGTCGTTCATTTGCTCTTTAACATTCGTTCAGTGAACGCGTGAGCACCTGCGCCGTTCCTCGTGCTGGAGACTGCAACAGTGAATAGGACAGACTTGGTTCCTGCCCTCACAGAGCCTGGAGCCCAAGTGCGTGGCCTCAGGCAAGTGACTTAACCTCTCTGAGCTTTGTCTTAGCTCCTCACCTGAAGAATGGGAATAATACAACCTACTCTGGGGGATCCCTGGGTCCTCTTCGCTGAACAGGGAAGAGCTCCAGGCTCGCAGGCGCAGCCTCGCAGAACAGAGGAGGTCGGTCGTAGTAATAGGAACGCAGACTCGGGTTCTGGGCCAGGCGCGTACCGGAGCACTTGTGCGGACCCATTCAACCCTCACACAACAGGAACGGGGCGGGGAGGGGGGGAAGGTGTGATTATTCCCACCCCCCTCCCACTGGTCCGGAGGAACTGGCCCAGCACTGAGAGCCGGGGTGAGGACCGCCCCCTCCCTCGGCGCCCCAAGCCGCGGCCTCACCGGCGTCTCCACGCAGGCCTCGAACCGGAACCGGCGCAGGACGCGCAGCAGCGTCAGCTTGACCTCCAGGAGCCCCAGCCGCACCCCGAGGCAGCTCCGCGGGCCCGCCCCGAACGGCAGGTACGTGAAGGGACGTCGTCGTCGCTGCGCCTCGGCCTTGAACCTGCGGCGGGGGGGCCGGGCGGTCAGGGTAGGCCCCGGGACACCCGCCTCGCTTCCCGGGGGGGCCTCGTCAGCCGCTCGCAGTGACCCAGGGGCCCCTTCATCTGAGGCCGCGCCCCCAGCACGTGGGCCTGAACCCCGTCGCCGTCAACGGACTCCTGTCCCCTCGGGCCCTCGAGCTGTCCCTGAGCTTCCGTCCTGCCCTCTCCGCAATCCCGCAAAGCCCCGGACGGACTGCGGAGGAGAAGGATCACCTGGAAGGCCCTCTTGCCCCCCGCCCCCAGAACTGATTGTGTTGTTAATGAATCTGAAGGCTCACTAGGATCCACCGGGATAAAAATCTTAAGAACCCACAGGTGGCTCCAGATTCCCCAGGAGCCAGAACAGGACACCAGGCGTCACCAGCTCCCTGAGCAGAATCCCTGGGGACCAGCCCTGCCTGGAGGCGGCGTCGTGCGGGTTTATCCACGGAGGCCACCCTGGCCGCCGGCTCCCCTGCCCACACCTGCCTCTCCGGTTCCCGCGGTGAAACTGGAACCACTGGGGGCTTTTTGTGTTTGGGCCGCTGCAGGAATTCTCCTACCTGCTGTCACACAGCATTTGCCACCTGTGCTCCGGGACAGTAGAGCTGGGTGCCCACACTGTCTTATAATAGCCAGCTCACTTCGGCTTCAGCCCTGGCGCTCGATATTCGCTGCGTTCAGCTGGAAATTATTTATCTGGGTCCCGCTGCCCATGGCTTCCCCGGGGCGGGATCGTAGGGGTGGGGCCTCTTTCCACGGGAATTTGAAATTCCTCAAGGTGGAAACAGGGTCTGTCTGCCCAGCCCTCCCCACTGCCAGATCACACCAGGAGGGGATAGCCATCGATTCGGATGAGGAGGGTGTGGATGCCTGCTCAGACATTTTCCACCCGGGAGCCTAGAAATGAAATGTAGACAAGGGACCCAATCCACATAGGGGACCAAGGAGTGGGGATCTGGGTCGACCTTGTTAGCACAGCTGGATCTCTTGAGTTCGGGGAGAAATTTCTGTGATTACTCTTGTTTTGGAACAAGCTCCGATTTTTTTAAAAAAAGGAAATGATGTTTTGTTACGTTCCAGTGCACACCAGCAATTCGATCCTGTGTCCCATTTCTTGGCTTGAACAGAGGACACCCGTTAGAAATTGCCCTGTTACTTGCACGCAGGGCTGCTGAAATGCGAAAACTCTGCATTCTGTTCGGGCCTTTTAAAAATGGTACAGTTATGTCCTTTGGAAATTATGTCTCTCGACTATCTATTTTCCATGACTTTTAACTGGGGACAACTTTATTAAATCTTTGTCTCCCCTTGGCCGCCTCCCCCAAGCGCCTTACACTCGCGTCGCCCATTTGAAGGGACTGAGCTCACCTCTCTGGGTTGAAGGTCTCGGGTTGTGGCCAGTACTCAGGGTCGTGGTGCAGGGCGCCCACGGCCACCTCCACCACGGTGCCCGCGGGGATGTGTTGCCCCCGCACCTCGCAGTCCCGCGCCGCCTCCCTCGTGAACCTGTGGGGACACGTCAGTCACCCCTGCCTTAATGCACAGCAACAAGCAGAGCTTGCCGGCAGCACGCTGGGGCAAATGGGGTCTGAGCCTCAAGTGTGGAATGGGGGGTAAGGGGATAGGAGGCCCAGCCTTCTTGCAGGGGTGACCAGGATGGTTTCTACCCCCTGCCCCTTAACCTTCTACTGCCCACAACCCTGAAGCCTCCAAGCTCTTGAGACTCCTTTGGCCCTCAGTGAATATGCATTCATCCATCAAGCCTGAAGAGTTCTCTTAGGCCTGACTGGGGGAACACGGGTACCTTTGAAGGGCTTCTTCCTGTGGGAGGCTTGCTGGGTTATGACCCTGGCCACACTTTCCCTCATCTTCTGTCCATGGCTAAGCCTCTTTAAGTGGCTCTCACCTACCCCCTTGCTTTACCTAAAGGAAATTTGGGTTTGAACATCTGATCTCCATTCATTGTCTGTGTCACTATGGATAACTTCTACTGAGGACAAAACTTCTGGTCAGATTGTTTACCAAATGCCATGGCACAGTCCGTTTTACACTGTATTTTTAAGGGCCAGACTATAGATGTTTGCATACAAATATAAAATTTCTGGAAGAATACCTGAACTTCCACCATGATTTCTTCTAAGGGATGGGACTGGGCTGGAGGATGGCAGGGGACCAGAGGTGCCAACTTTTTCTTCAGATCCTTCTGTATTGTTTAGGTTTTTTTGGTTTTTGTATTTTTTTTTTTTTTAAGTACAAGCCTACTATTTTTGTAATACAGATAATTACTTTAAAAATTAAAAATTATGCTGGCTTTTATTTCAAATTGTAGGGCTGGACTTTCCTAAATATCTCAGAGGAGATAAAGTTATTATACTAATTACCATTATATTCTGTTCTCGCTTATAAAAAAGAATTAAGAGCAACCCGAAGCTCCTGGCAGCCTTCATTACTCTGTCAGGAACCTTTAATGTAACAAGAGAAGCCAGGACTTGGGGGCCCCCATTCGGATCCTAAGCTACCAATGCTATTAATATGTATACTGCATGGAATCCTGGATTCACATTAATAATACTTCAACAAGAGTTGGTAAGTTTTCTACAGGGGCCATTCTGAGTTTTTTTTTTTGGTGGATAATGGTTATCAGTCAAGGTGCGTCAGGGCCTGGGAAAAGATAACGCACTTTTCTGAGATTAAAATAATAAAGTAGAATAAAATAAATAAAATTCGCATTCTATCTGTATTCACCCCCAAATCTGTTGCCTGGGCTGAAGCGAATTGGCCTCTCATCTGGCTGAGAATAATGATGGCTTGGCTCTCTCCTTTCTGTTGTTTGTTAACAGAAGTCTGCAGAGCTGATAGGATTAAAAATTCCAGCAGAGTAGGTATGGAGGAGGGTGAGGCCCAGGAGCTCGTGGCTTGCCAGGACCGGAGCGGGCTGGAAGCTGGCCCTTCGCCTGGAAGGGCAGTCCTTCTTGCTTTCACCTCATACATTAGGTGACATATGACTTAGAGTGTGCAGCTTTTCAGAAGTTCTGTCCCACTGTTTCTCACCACTCGTTGGGGGTGGGGGGGCGAGCAGGCATTGTGTGCCCACTGAACACCCGGGAAGCAGAAGCACAGAACAGCACAGCGCTTACCCAAGGTCACACAGCCCACGAAGGGCAGAGGTGTGAGACTCTCGACTTTCTGTCTGAATTTGTTCTGCGATTACGGAGCACTGGTACTCTATGTGGCTTGATGAGGGAGTCAACCAGTTCATCCCAGTTCCCTCATTTCTGTCCTGCCTTCGAGTGAGATCACCCACTGCTGGTTCCCCGGAGCCGTGTGGCCGCCTTTTATGCAGTACTGTTTCTAAAGTTTCTAAGGGTCACTTGGAGAATCGATCAGAGCATTTGGGTGTTGAAGAGCCTGTTCACTTTGTCACTCAGCGCATTCCCGCTAAAAGGTTTCACGCGTCGAGTTCTTGATTGGGTTTAGATCCAGGAAAGGACCTGTCTTTGATCACTTTATAGACTTTCCTCCTGCCAGAGAACGTGCCTGTTCAACTCTGCTGGTTTTCCTCTCTGGCAGGAGCCGCGGCACCTGAGCGGGGACCTGACCCCCGTTATCGGCCCTCTCTGGGGTCCTGTAAAGTCTTCTTCCCCCTGGATGGCCTTTGTTCTATCACTGAATGTCTTATTTTGAGCTTCATTTTAACGTGTATAGCAGCTGCCCACAGTTCCCTTGGAGGGAAGCTGGATATAAATCATTAAAAAAGCAGGATTGGATGACAGTGCCATGGCTCCCAAGGAAATCAGGGAAGGCCCACAGAATCGGTCTTAACGCCGGCGTCAGGAGAGGGGCCCGGCAAGTGCTGGGGTTTCAGGGCCCTGAAACCCTGTGTGCTTGAGGACCATGTGATTCCACTCACATCTCTGGAATTCTCTGTATTTGCTCCGGGTCCAAACACTTTGGACAATATCTATAATCACACTCTGTATGATGTTTTTGGTTTGGAATATAATGAGATATCTTCAGAGCACCCACATTTTCTCTTTTAGAATGGCAAAAGGTACCTCCATATGGATGCTGGGGTATACTAATTTTTAGACCTGCAGAGTGGAACTTATGATAGGTTAAATGCTTTGTGTTGCTTCTTGTTTCTAGAACCTGAAATGTGGTCACTGTTTCCCTCCCTAAAGGCCTGGGGGCCCAAGTTAAGATCCTGTGCTCCATGTTTTGCCTTGTTTAGGGAGAGTTGGAAAAAAGCAGACCAGATTCCTGCTTTCGAGGCACTTACAGGTTGGTGGTGTGAGCAGATGTCCACGTGTGAGATGTTCCAGAGGGGGTGAGAAGTGTCCAAGAATGTAATAGGAAGTACAGTTTGCTCGAAAATGCTGGGGGAGGAGAGGCAAACTGCCCAGGGTAGCAAGGGTTGGGTTGGAGCTCGAAGGATGGGGCAGGGGTGGGTGGCTGGAGAGTGAGGAGCAGCCTCCCAGACTTTGGAATTCTCCCCCTGGAACATCAACTCCAAGGGCAGGGGTTTTATCTGTTTCGTACACGGCCGATTTCCCCGTGCTTGGCCCAGCATTCGACTCAACAAATAGTTGCCAAATGAAAGAATGGACGAACGGACGAACAGGCAGGAGGACTAGCAAATGCCATTGAAGGCTAGGAGGCCAAGGAGATTGGCTTGGGTTGGGGAAGAAGGTCATGTTAAGAACAGACCAGTGAGGGCACCTGGGTGGCTCAGTTGGTTAAGCGACTGCCTTCGGCTCAGGTCATGATCCTGGAGTCCCAGGATCGAGTCCTGCATCAGGCTCCCTGCTCAGCGGGGAGTCTGCTTCTCCCTCTGACCCTCCTCCCTCTCATGCTCTCTGTCTCTCATTCTCTCTCTCTCAAATAAATAAAATCTTAAAAAAATAAAATAAAAACAAAAACAAAAACAAAAACAGACCAGTGAACCTTTGAGAAGGTAGTTAATGTAGAGGAAAATGAGCCAGACATTTACTGCTATGGTCACTCTATGGAAGCCATTGAAACCCAAGAAACCCAAGACTCAGGCCTTGCCTTCCAGGAACCTGAGTCCAGCATTCTCGATAACGCAGGTGGTGACAGACTGAGGACTGGTGAGGAGCCTAGACAGTGATGTCCCGAAGGGCCTTTGGGGTGCGGGGGCCTGGGCAGGGGGAGAAGGTGGGGGAGCTCAGGCATACCTGAAAGCCGGTGGGTAAAGCCTCAAGGTCTCTGCGATCACCATGTCCAGGTAGGTCAGGCCTTCCTGGAGGCTGCTGTAGTCAGGGGCCGTCTGGGGGGGAGGGGGGTCGTGACAAATGAAGAAAGTTGAGTCCCACTGAGTCCCACAGCTTTCTGGCTTCTCCATTAGCTTTAGAGTCCTGCTCCAACTCCGCAGGCTCATAAACGGAGACTCGGCAAAATGCAGTCAGTACAATCCAAGCTGCGTTAGGTCAGCACCCCGCGTGTTCCCTCGGACTTGTGTCGTGGTGCTGTATGTTACCGCGGACCAGCCCGGCCAGCCTGCGACTCGGGGACCTTGGAGTGTCCTACAGAGAAGTTTGGTTCTAACGCAACAGTGGACAGTGGCAGGCGTAGCTGCGAGCATTGATGGAGAGAGGGTGGCGTGGTGGCTACGCACTGCGTAGACACGATCTGGCTTAATCCTCCCTGTAGACCCACGAGGCAGCCGCTCTCCCATCTCTCCGATGAGAAAACCGAGCCTCGGAGGGGTGGCCATGGGGGCAGTAACTGGTACATCATAAAGTTAAAAAATGCAGCGTGAAATCGCAGATAAAGAAAAAAAGTTCTAGGGGTGCCTGGGTGGCTCAGTCGTTAAGTGTCTGCCTTCAGCTCAGGTCATGATCCCAGGGTCCTGGGATCGAGCCCCGCATCGGGCTCTCTGCTCCGCGGGAAGCCTGCTTCTCCCTCTCCCACTCCCCCTGCTTGTGTTCCCTCTCTCGCTGTGTCTCTCTGTCAAATAAATAAGTAAAATCTTAAAAAAAAAAAAAAAAGTTCTAGTGAAATAAAAGACGCATAGTGACAAAACCCAAAGAGCCGTTCTAAGTCAGTAAGAAAAGAAACTCATTAGGAAAATGGGCAAAGGATATGAACGGGCAGAGCATAGAAGGAGAAATAAAGTTGCCATGATGAAAAATACAAATGAAGACAAGGAGATTTTGCTCTTCGGTCAGGTTAGGAAAGGTCGGGAAATGCAGATTAGATACTCAAGGGCGGAGGCGTGGAGAAGCATAACCCAGTACCCTGTGTTGGGGGTACCCCAGGGTCCCTTGGACAATGCCCACTGGAGTGAAACTGTCACCCTCGCCGTCACCCCTGGCCTGGGGAGGAGGGACACATGGGATGTGAGCTGGGGAGCAGGATGCGGGGGAGGGTTAGAATGGGGTCATGGAGGCTTATTCGCGGCTCTGCTGGGTTTCCCCAAGTCGTCCGCTCACCCCACTCCCTGCAGAGCCAGAGTGCGTCACCTGCTTGGTTGGTGACCACCTTCTTTCTCTCAACCAGATAGTGCCTGCTGCAAGAGCAGTCCTCAGCTTGGAGGTTCGCTTCCTTTGACCCCCCCTCCCAGGGCGGCAGAGGGCAGCACTGGGGGCAAGTCCAGACTGCAGGCCCCCAGCTGTCCACGGAGGGGCCCTGAGTGGCCCCCGCCTCAGAGAGCCATTCTCAGGCCTGCAGCTGGCCACACCATGCCCTGCATGGGTCTAGTGGCTGGCAGAAGGGGGCAGGGCCCCCAGACACGCGTGAGGGCCTGGCTCCCCAGCCCACGCACTACCCCCTTGCATGGGGGAGTGCCTCCTTGGGGACCCTGTGGCACCTCTCTTCTTTCTAATGCTTAGTAGTTTGATTTGTGCTTGTTTCTTCTGGCCTGTGAGTCACAAAATACAAATTGTGTAATTTCAGTGATTCTGCATGTGAGTTAAATGCTCTGATATTTACATTTAAAACTGGCGTTGCGTGACGTAAAGGTGAATGGTAAGATTCATGCTAAAGAAGAAAAAAGGGAGAACCTCTGTATCTACTGTTAATGGCACTTGCCCCTGCCTTTTGAGTGAGGGGCCCCATAGTTCCGTTTTATGTCAAAGAATGGTGGAGTTGGCCATGCAGGCCACGGTTGATTGGCCCGAGGGTGAGCCTCTGACCCAAGGGCACCGGTCTGGAAATTTGGATCTAGTGCAGAGAAAAAGGAGTTTTTGGTCCAGCGGGTGGAAACTGAACACTGGTGAGTCATGATCTGTTGGTGACCATGTTCTGCCTTGTGGATGAATGAGCAGAAAATTCCAGTTGGCTGTGAGAAAGAAGAAATGAATTAAATGTGCAGAGAGAGGCAGAGGCAAACGACAGAGAGAGACACCATATCCTGGTGTCCCTTAGAGCGCCAGTTTCTGTTTGCAAGTAGCCCCGTGGGTGGTGGATCAGAACTCTTAAAGCACTTTCTCGTTTATGGCCCCAGTTAGCAACAGCTGAATTCTGTTACCTGCCACCAAAGGACACTTAACAAATGCAGAACATGTAAAATAAATAAATAAGAAATGGTGGTATTGTGTACCAAAATATAGAACTAAATCTCAAAAAGAAAAAAAAAAAAAGAAAGAAACCAAAAAAACAGATCTGCAAGCAGCGTCCCTAGCAGTAAATGGTATTGGTTCCCCGGACAAAATTTGTGATTTAGAAGCTATCAGCATTTGTCAGAGAAAGAAAGCCTTTAAAAGCAGGCTAAGGGAATTTGATATTATAAAGTCAAAGTCTTCATTTATTCTTTCTCTGGATGAGCTTTCTACTGTACTTCTAAGCTTTTGGCTCAAGATACACATGTAAATATCAGCTTAGTCCAGTGGTTCTCAGTGTGGGTGAACATTAGAAGCAGTGGGACGGCTTTTAATATATAAGGATTCATCTGTTGGTTTGAAGTGGGGCCTGGGCACCAGTTCTCCCTTTGAAGCCCTACCCCCAACTCCCCCCCACCCCCCAGCAGTTGTAATGTGAGCCCTGGGGAGAGACCACTCGCTGCCTTAGTCCTTCTGTGATCTACCCCAGGGATCCTTCCTGCGGGAGAAGTGGGCAGATGGGGTGGAGGGAGGCTCACGCCTGCACATTTTAATCAAACCCAGGTGAGGCAATGAAATTCAAGTCCCTATCCCACTGACAGACCATCCACCCATCTGGACCTTTGGCTCCCTGAGTCCTTTTCAGGAAAATCGGGGATAAAGGGGTCCTGCATCAGTCCCGCCAGCAGAGGGCAGCAAGTGTACGGCAAATGGGGACTCCCCAGCAATGCTGGGCCCCTACTCAGAATCACAAATTATACCCCCAAAAGACTTAGGAATCGTGAATCCAAATTCTTCATTATGGAGATGAGAAAAATGAGACCCAGAGAGGAAAGCTTTCGAAGCCAAAAGCACACAGATAGAACCTGAAGTAGAAAACCCATGTCCTTATTCATTTAGCAGTCCCTCCATAAGCCCCTACTTAGCCTGTCAGGTGCAGGGCAAGGTGCTGAGGATCCAAAAATGATCAAGTCTCTGCTCTTTGGTGAAGCTGCCTTCTATGCAAATCATTATACTGAATGTGGAACATGTTCTAGAACAGACTTAGGAGGAATGGGAAACAGAGTTCTGTTTGAGAACTCATTCACTCATGTATTTGTTGGACATGTGCTGAGTTGGTGCAGACTGTTGGCCAGGCACTGTGCTAGGCACAGGGCACATGACTTTGACACATGGGGACCCTCCCCACCCTCCTGGACCTCACCGTCCATCTCAGGACGCAAAGCAATGGGGAGGGTTAGAGAGTGGTGAGCACAAGGCTCTGTGAGAGAACAGAGGACAGACATCCCAGGCATTTGGGATCAGGGAAGCTGACAAAAGGAAGTGATGCCTAAACTGAGATCTTTAGGATGAATAGAAGAAGCCAGTGAAAAGTGGGTGGGTTTGTTTGGATGCTGGTTCAAACAAACCAATATAAAAAAAAAATCCATGGGTCCATCACAGGACCCTGACCCCTGACTGGGTATTCAATTCGATACACTTAGGAAATTATGGTTCATTTGTATTTAGTGTGATGATGGTATGGTGGTCCTGTTTTAGAAAAGAGCCTTTGTATTTTAGAAATACAGAATGAAATAGTTACCGATGACATGATAGGACATCTGGGATTTTAAAAAAGACAAAACCTGGAAGTGAGGGAAGGTGGGGAAATGGATGAAAGCAGAGGGGTCGCAGTGGACTCTCGTGGACGCTGGGTGAGGGGGACAGAGTTCTCCCAAGTGGTCTTCTAATTTGTCTAGGTTAAAGTTTTCCTTCAAAAAGAAAAAAAGCTGAAACACTAAATAGCAATGTAAATAACAGTAGTGTGTGGAGTCGCTCCATGCAAAGACTTGGAACTGCGCTAAAGAATTAAACATGTTTAAAATAGCAGCGCCATCCCCACAGGCAGGAGGCTGGGAGCCGGGAGCTGCGCTTTCTGGCCCAGCCCCTCCCTTGCTGTCACCCTTGGTGCTCAGACCCTCTGTGCTGGTCAGGGCTGAGGAGGGCCCACTTGGCCTGGAATGTCAGGAGAACCCAGGGGGGTTTCTGAGCAGAGTATCCTCTCATTTCAAGCCAGGAAGCACTTTAAGCATCTGTGTTTCCCGAAGATAACGTTAAAAAAAGGGATCCCTGAGGGTTCCCCCCGACTCCTGTTGCATGGGCCATACTACTCAGAATTAGAATCAACCTATCCTGCCTCCCACCCAACGGGGATGGTTGCTGCTGGAGCCTGTCTCCCTGACCTTGGCCATGCCTCGGGGTGGTCACTGGGTCCGGCCAGAGTCTCTGTCCGGGATCCATTGCCCAGCAGCTGTGGCCTGGGGCCGGTTGCCAAGGCAACATCAACAGGTCACGGGGCCTGTAAGCTGGGGTCATGCCCAGCTCGCAGGGCAGGGCGAAGGAGACGGTAAGGTGACAGGTCTCCGGAAACCGTAATGCACCAAATGAGCAGATAATCCTTCTGTTTGAAAGTATTCGGTGGCAGGGAGCTCATTTCACCACCAGGCCTTCTGTGGCATGTATTAAAATGACTCTGTAAGGACGTGTTAAGGAAGAAAGTGATTTTAAAATCCTATAGAACTTATTTCAGCTGGGACTTATTTCATAAAATAAGTAACTGCACTCTTAGAAGGTTGAAAATAGATATTAAATATTTATTATTATCCGATAGTGGGAAATACTGATTAAATAGTAAATATTTGATTGCTAAATATTGGGGAAAATAGAGATTAAAACATAAACTGAATCT